TTTGCTTTTATTCATAGAGAAAACGAACCAAATCTTTCTACAACAGAAACAGTTTAAACTAAATGTAGTAACTGACTCACTTTTTAAGGAAAATCCAAATTACTGTTAAAGAATAAACCAACGCTTCTAACTCTGTAATATTTCAAATCCATGCTGCAGTGCAAATAAGTATTTACCCCAACCCGAAGTCCTTGGCACTCAGCTCTTCTTCAGCAGCCAATGCATGAAATTAAGTAGTTACTTTGTTACACAGACTGGGGGAAGTTCTGTCTTAATGAACAAACTAACCCATTGGCTTAAAGTGTAACTATGTCAAGTACAGACTGTACTACTTGAGTAAGGAAAATTAAGTCTAATTGAAGGTACCATGATAACAAAGAAAATAGTTTGGCTTCAGGGACTGCAAAGAAACACTGGTCATTACAGGAAGTTGTAGTAATGCTGACAATGTTAAAGTGATTCTAGAAACTAGAAGTTCTAGAGTATTCCTCCCAATGTCACACTTTCCTGTCCTATATAACCAGTTCTACAAATTTTGCTAGCACTTCTGAGTAACATTTAATGCCCATAAAATTTAACTGGCAGTGATTCCTAGTTATTTTGTTAGTTTTACTATATATCTTCAGTTGTATCATTTCCCAGCCAACCCTGGACTCCCATCTCTTTAATCATCTAATTTACCAAATTCCCTAGCTATCGCCATATAAGAGGGGTTTTTTCCCCCCCTGAGGAGAGGGTGTCTTCTTGGTGCAGCGGCAGGCTATGGTGTATTTACAGCCAAAGCTGAGCATTACAAATATTTCATTCAGTACTAAAAGAGGCCACTTCTTAAATGGGGATGGAGGGAGACTTGACTTGGGGTGGTAAACACACGATACAGTGTACAGATGCTGTACAACAGTGCACCCGAAACCTGTACAATTTTGTTACCCAGTGTCACCCCAATAAATTTAATAAAAAATAATAATGTAAACAAAAAAGACTACTTCTTAGGATATAGGTAATATCCTTAGTGTGCTAGTTAAGAACTAGAATAGTACCTTAAGCTATAACAACAACAGATTAGATTCTTTTTTCACAGTAAGCTATTTAGCTTACCCATGATGAAACTAACCGGAAAAAAAATGTTTCCTCCTTTGAGAACTTGGGGAGAAAAAAACACTCATGTTTGCCCCCAAAGTTATTACTAACAAACAAATGGACTGCTAAAAACCTAAGTTGTGATAAAACTATCCTATCTCTTGTCCCAAAGACTCATTACATGGCAGTTACTCATCTAGAGCAAAAAAGACAGAGAGGCTTAAAAACTGGCCTTTTTTTTCCTTTTTGCCTTTCAACTTGCATTAAGTTTAATAATTAATTATTAGTCAAAACAAAAATAATTAATTTTACCTGCTAACTCCCTCCAGTTCTCTGATGTTTACTTTTTCTATTCAACATTCAAGAATATACATTATCAAACACTGCGAAAAGAGAGACTATTATAGAGAAATACAAGGACTTCCCATCTCCTGTAAAATTAACAAATTAGCATAGAGAAATATTCCTAATTCCTGGAAGAAACTTGAAACTTAATGTGGGGTGTTTCTTTTTTTCTAGAATAATGTTGTAATTCAAATGTCTAAAAATAAGGAAATGAAATAAATGTCAAGCCCAATGCTAGTGAGAAAGCAAAAGACAAACAAAACATACCAAAGAAGCTTCTTCATTTGAGGGAGAACCAAACACAAATGCAAATCACTCAAACACACGTGACCAGACGAAGGCTGGAACACAAGCACACCATGAGAGCAAATAGCAGAGAGGCATTCCAGCTGACAAGACTGGAGAAAGCTTTGACCCTAAAGCGCACAGGCAATTCACCCAAATTGCCTATGGCTGTCTGCTAAAAATACAGATCACTGAGTTCCATCCCAGATCTCTGAAACAGATCCTCCTGTGATGAAGTCTCAGAATGCTTTTTTGTCTTGTATTAAACAATCACTCCAGTGAATCTGACTCAAGGGATCCATGGACTGCATTTAGTTACATTAAAATTTGGTGGGAGGGGATACTGGGGGGGGCGAGGAGAGGGAAGGGTTGTCAAGGAACATGTATAAAAGGCACATGAACAACGACAAAGGGGGATAGGATCAAGCATGGGAGGTGGGGATGGCTGGAGTAGGGGGAAAATGGAGATGACTGTATTTGAAGAAACAATTAAAAAAAGGGAAAAAAATTTGGATTACCACTGTTCTAAGAAAAGGGTAGGACCTAATGAACAGACTTAACAGAGGGACTTTGCGAAGACAGCCATAGAAACAGAACACCAGGGTATACAGGAATTGAAGGGTTATAGGGTACGTGCAATGGTGAAATAAAATATTTGCTGGAATCATAGGTAAGCCAGCTAGAGCCTTGACTCAATACATAAAGAGGCTGAACTCTCTTCTGGAGGAAGTAGAGAATGGGCAAAGCTTTCTAAGCAGCTTACCTGACCATGATTAACTGGGAATCCAAATAAGAGCTACAAGGACAATATGTGGAGGAGGAAAATAGGGAATGCATGAAAAGACATCACAGGTATAGAAAGACAGGACTTGGGGACTGGCTGCCTGTAGACAAAAGGCAGAAATGAATATGACTTTGAGGAAAATTTTAAATGAGTCAAGTGCCTTCTCAGTGTCTGATACCATGCCAAGTACCGGAGCATCCAAAAAGTATGAGAATCATTAATTCAACATAGCAGTTGAACACCAGGTGCCAGGTATCATGAACAATGCTGAGGATATACAGGGGGAAAAAAATCCCTGCTCCTCAGGAGTTTTAAAACTAGATCTTGCCCTCTTCCTCTTTATTTGTGCCTCTACTTTTTATCAGGAAAATAGTATTTCTGAGCTTGTCTCTCCTTCCCCAATGTCTGCTTCGCTCCTGAAGCATCGGCTAGCTCAACTCAAGAACATGCAGGTCCTCATCCTGAGTGGTCTTATACATTTGTTCTTAATGGCAAATACTCAGGAATGCTTTCTCAGCAATGATAACAAGGCAGTCTTGATAATGAGACTGTAAGATGTGAAGGTCCAAATTCAAGTGTCAGTGAAACCCATCATGTTCCATTAAATGGGCTTACAGAACTTGACCACACAGAACTTTAGAGCAGTCATTTATTCACGCAGTCAATGTGTACTGGATGCCATTACAGATGGTATTTTTTCCCTACCTGGAAAGTTGAGTAACATCCTAAAAAAAGTTAGAGTGGAAAGTGTGGTTTCTTGAGAAAATTAATTAAGAAAAAAAGGAGAATAAGCAGCACTTAAAAACAGGAGTGAAGGGAGATGAGAAGGGGTTGTATGGGGGAACTCATGCAAGACTACCAAAACTCAGAACAAACACTGACCAAAGGACAAAAGGTAACCACAAGTCTGAGAATTGGATGGAGGTCACTTGTTAAGTTATATTCCTAATTTTCAATATGTAATGCTGCCAGTTACTCAACTTTCACAATAATGTGAGATAAATCTCTGCTCTTCATTAATGGACAAATTACTTGACAAGAAACACACATCAAAGAACAGAACTATATAAGACAGCAATAATCAAGTGCTTGGTTATATGATGCAAATGACATCCATAATTCAGAGAAACAAAGATTTAAATACCAGTTTTATACAAAGTTACTCTGAACACTTTTCCAGAACTGTTAATAACTAAGACTATTAACATTACAGTTAATAGTACAAACTATTAACTGAGTACAAACTGTAATAGCAAAGACTACTGGCTGTACATCATTTTGTAGCCACACCCATAAATGTGGATCACTTTAATGTTGGTGACATCATCAAGTAACTTTCTATGCAGTTTTACTTGTAACTGTCACTTCATTTTGATCACAGTGCAGTAAAACATTTCAGATCCGAGCTCCAATTGTATACAGTCTAGATTGCTATCATTCCTGGGATCTTTCCTGTCTTTGGTAAATAAAACCCAGAATACAATCAAAGCATTCACAATTAAATTACAAAACACTTGATTTTTAAAAATCTATTTTAACTATTATTTTTGTATCTTTAATCTAGATCAGGTCCTTTCTCTTCCACTCTCTCTTCAATGCTTTGTAACAACTAAAGTTTTATGGGGTAGTCTTATGACAAAGCACAAAAAATAAATATAAAATAAAATCTAGGTGCTTCCCATGTGAAACAAGATGTCCAAAATTAACTAAGATTTTTTTTGTTGTTTAAGAAGAAACATTTCAGCCAAGTGAGGACACTGCAGGAAGATGGCCATTTATGAACCAGGAAGTGGGCCTTCTCTAGACACTGAATCTGCCAGCACAGTTCCAACCTCTAATATTATAAGAAATGCAGGCCTGCTGTCTGCGAGTCTATCACAGTCTGTTGTTCCAGCCCGAAGAGACTAGCACCCGAAGAGATTGTTTAGTTTATCCAGTAAAATTTTTGCTTGAGGGAAAAAAAAAAGATCTATTTTGTAAAATGTGCTTAGAGGCCTTAAAAAACACACATGTAAAACAGAATGCAAATATACAAAAAGCACAATGACTGTTAAAATATTATCAGGAATGTTATTCTGTCTTTCTCTACTACTCTGTATCATAAAAAAAAGTACCTCTAAAGACTAAATAGCACATTTAAACCTAGTTCAGCAACTGAACTCCTAGACCAAGAGTAAAAGGGTTTTTTTAAAGAAGGGTTAATATTATTGCTATAATTGGGAGGTAATTATTTTGAAAATAGTAAAATTGAAAGTGCCTACAAAAACCATTATAATTTTGCTTCCAAAAAGAAAAAAAATTACCAATTAATTATAACAGTTTCACTGACTCTAGGGTTTACCCTATTTTTACCTTGCTTAGTAAAAAGCTCATCTACATAGCAACCCCAATTTCTGAGGCTAAAATTCTGCATAGAGTATATTGTGTAAGTTGGCAACAAGGGTGTGTCAGACTCAGATAATAAATGTCATCAAAATAGAATCACAACATTTTAAAAGTCTCTTACCAGTTGAAATTCTCGACGTCGGTCATAGGCATTCTGTATGCCGCTGTCTGCCCACAATGCTCTTATAGCAGGAAGATATTGCAAAAAAACTTGAGTTTCCACCATTCCTTGGGCCGCCAAGGGGGAACGGGTATCAAACGACATCATCTTGTCTCCATTGAACTGGTTTGAGTTATCTCCCCAAGGAATATGAAGCTTCTCTCTTGCATCTACCAGCACCCTCATACCTTTGTTTAAAAAAAAAGAAAAGTGTGACGGGCGTTACTATATTTTCTCATAGATTCTATCCCAGAATAACTTTCATAAACTTCTTAACTACTCCAGGCCCATCTCCTCCAAAAATGGAGACCAACATCAAAAGGGCATGCATAACTTCTCAGAGTTTAAAAAAACAAAGTCACAATCATAAAATTAGAGCCTTGAAAAGCATAAAGTATTAAACAATAGCTCTAAAGGATTTTAACATGTTCTAATTTGTAAAATAACTTCTGAGGCAGAAGGTAGTCACAAGAGAACAAAGATGAGTAAAGAAAACAGAAATCATGCTGCATAGCCTGATGTCCAGGCTCAGAAGAAAACGGCTGCAACCAAGATTTTCTGAGCCCCCTCAAAAACACATTTACGAATGTCAAGTACCAAATGGTAATGGCTCTGGGTTCTGGTAGGTCCCTAAGCTTCCTGCTGACTCTACCACTGGTTTAGGAACACATTGAAAACTCAAACAACCTGTCCCATAGCAAGCTTCAAGTCAGTGTAAGTCACAGGATGGCAAAAGATTCTTCTAAAATGAAGACCAAATGCAAAAAAACATATAAAAAGAGATTTCAACTCAGAGATACTAGTCAAACCCACTATCTCTATCACTAAACTATTACCTTTGGGCCATTTTAAAGGTCACATGACTATCAAGAACTCATTTGTGTGGATAGTTGAAAAACTTTTTCCTGTCAATTTTCTAATCATGCCAACTCAGAAGAGTAGATGTCCACTCAGTGACATACCTCATCTCATAATCAATGCTCAAAGCAGGTCACACGTCGGACCATGCACAAATTTAAGAAACAGGTATTTACTTGGCTCACAATCAGTTAACATGCTGACTCTATTCATAGACATAATCCCTGAAGTTCTGCTGCATGAGGATACAAAGGTACCTTTAATTAAGGACTGGCAAGGCAGAGTCTGCGGCCTTGAAAAAGACCTTAATCACTTTTGTACTGAACATTAAAACACGATAAATACAACTGTTTTGTACACTTTAACTGCAGTGGGACTGGGGCTCCCGGCTCCTAGTGGTCTGTGAGCTCCCCACCTAGTGCTCTTCTTTGGTCATTACCCCCCTGCACAATGCACCCCTCCCCCCCCACAACTCCCAGACAGTTTTCCTCTCCTAAGTCCCGGGAGAAAAAAGTGACCCAAAGGAGTTGCTTAAGTACTTTCCAAACAAAAAAAATCCCACTTAAAAAAAAAACATGTCTGAAAAGACCTGAAATTTGTTGCAAACTCCTAGATAATTGCTACACAGATGAAATGAAGAGCATCTGGATGCACCTCAAGTGCCAAGCTCTGTCTCTCAATTTTGCTCAAATCGCCTTTTCTAAAGTAGAAAATATCTGACACTAAAAAAAAAATCAGTGCTACATATCGCCCAAATGACAAAATAAAAACCATCTTCTCGAATTCTCTGAAATCCCAGAAATACAATTCTTGTGTATTTTTCACTTAAGAATAAAGTATAACTTTGATTTTTAAAAAAAATAATGTCAAATAGCAGAGTTTACGATCCAAGCTGACATTGATTCATTGACTACCTATAACGGCTCCGCATAACTTTTAAGCCAAAGAGTCTGTATATCAATGCACAACTTCACTTATATAATACAATACAAGCAAGTTGTGGAGCACACAACCCCCCCCCCACCCCCCGCAACCGCGGCCTCCGCGGCCTTCAGTTAGGCAGAGAGGGGCAGAGAGGGAGAAACGTGTTGCATAGTGATTATAGGCAAACATCCTGCCCAGCCGTGGCACCAGGGCGAAAAACCACTGATGCTAATTTTTTCAGACTAACTATAACAGGTCTACAGCTCCATGATAACTGCACAGCAAACACAACACCCTCGAGTTTCATATCCTTGTCCAAAAGAGCGCAGGGACTGTCACCTTTTGCCCTTGACAAGTCTCGGGCAAAAGTCTCCTTACTGCGACGGTTCCAGAACTCCCTTCCTTGCTCAGGAGTCAGCCAAAGAAGCAAGGAGCTGGGAGCAGACCGACCCCATGTGACTCGGGTCACCCACCCGCGGAGGGAGGGGGGGGCGTTGGCACCGCCGGGGCCCAGGCTGGGGATGGAGGGTCTCGGGTTGGCTCCCGGGTCTTCCTGCCTCATCTGGAGGGAAGACAGAGCAGGTCACCCCGCACCCCGGCATTCCTCACTTCCCTCTAGAAGGGCGGGGTGGGGGACCATCCGTACTTCCTACCGGGGCACCAAGGAAGAAGGCGGGGAGCGGCGGGGAGCACCAGGGTACCCCCTCCCCTAGGAGGAGAGGGCACCCAGGGCAGCAGGACCAGTCTCCCCGGGCGCGCCCCCTTCCCGCCCGCCCGCTGGGCCGGGTCCTCCGCCAGTGACCAAGGGAACGAGGGCGGTGCCCGGCCCCGCGCCGGCCGCCGCCTCCCCGGGCTCCGGCCCCCGTCCCCGGGCTCCGACCCCCGCCCGGCACCTTTGATCACGTTGCTGTAGATGGTGGGGCGGAACTCCTCGCGCGCGCGCTGGTCGAAGTCCTGCCCGTGGATGATCCGCATCTGCTTCAGGAAGGTGGACTTGCCGCTCTCGCCCGCGCCCAGCAGCAGGATCTTCACGAGCCGCTTCACGTAGGTCTTCTCCCGAGAAAGGCATTTGTCGATCTCCTTGGACTTGCGCTGCTGCTCGGCCTCGCTGCTCGTCAGCACGCAGCCGGGGAAGCACACGGACAGCACGGACCGCGACGGCAGGAAGTCCGCCATCTTGCCGCCGCCGCCGCCGCCTCGGCGGGCCCCTCTGGCTCCCTCCACCTCCTCCTCGGGCGGCGGACGACTCCGGCACCAAGGCTCGAGGGCGGGGAGCGCTGCAGCGGCCGGAGCGCGCCGGGGGAGGGAGGGAACTAGCGAACTGACTCGCAGGGCGGGCCGGGCAGGGCGGGCCGGGAAAGCCAAGGAGGGAGGGAAGAAGGGCGGGCCCAGGAGGGGCGGTGGCCCCGAGGGCGCGCGCGGGCGCGCGCCCGCTGCCTCCCGGGGACCCGCACGCACGCAGCGGCCCCGCCCCTGCTTTCAGCGCCGCGCCGGCGAGGCTCGCTCTAGCCCCGGTGCGCGCGGCCGCCTTGGTCAGGTGATCTCCGGTAGGGCCGGGCGCGCGGCTGGGGCGCCTTTCTGTTTCTCTTTAATTAGTTGCGCCAGTTTCCCGGGACCCAATGTGCGACGACGCAGCTCTTGGACTCTCCGATCGCTCTTTCCCAGGTTTCATCCCCGAAGCCTGCTGTCACCGTTCGTGCGCCTTATTTCGAAGCCATTACCTACAAAGTTATTCAAACAGCGAGCGCGAGCCTGGAAGATCTTGGTACATTTTCTTAAGGTGGTTTTGTTGACATCCTGTTCTCCCAAGTCCTGAAAATAACCAAACGTCATCAATCCACCCACCGAGCTCTTTTTTTGGCATTTTCAGACCCCTGCAACCTTCCTTACTTTCCCCCACCCCCACACACACAATGAGAAGAACTAGTTAACTGAGATATGCTAGGAGGCGTTGGTTAATGTCACATTATTGTGGATTCCCTCCGGAACTGCGGCAGGCGGTGCAGAAATCAGTGGATGTTAACTGCGGCAGGGTGAGGTCATGGTGAAAATCCCCCTAAACCGGACACTGTGATGCTGACTCTTCCCTACAAGGAAGCAGATAAGCAAACAGACTCGAGGACTGGCGCAGGCAAACTTTAGGTTTCCTGCCAGGTTACGGAGGATATGATCAGCCAAGGGACTTTCTTCTGTGCTAACAGATTCAGGCCAGGACACCTGAAAGGGCTGCCAGGAGATGAGCAACCTGACAGCTGGGCTGGCAGACTGCTAGCAAAAACCCCGGAAACCAACTTCTTCATTCTTAGTGTTTAGTTTCAAGTGGAAAAGCCATTTTGGTCTCCCTCTGTTTTGGGCAGTAATGCTGCTTGATTTGGGCTTCTGTAGCTCAGAAACTACCTATGTGTTAGGCAGTTGAGGTAAGAGGTCAGCATTCTGAGAAGTTCATGAAACGGGTTGAAATTTTTAAAAAATCAGTGCTAATCAATTATTGTCTGAGTTGGGTTAAAGGCTGAGGAGCCTCATGACTCAGTAAATTGGCTGCAGTAAACAACGCTTGTAGTAGGACTATCTCCCATTGTCCTGGCCAAGCTCATAGGGCAGACAGCTTACAATATACTCACGCATAGTATAGGGTAGGACCAACTCTGGTATCTTGATGGGGTCAGAATCTCTTGGCTGTACTTTCAGGCAAAATGCCTGGTAAATAGTCTATGCTGGATGGAAGATCTGTGCCCCAACCATGAAAGGAATAACCACTGCCCAGTACAGGGGCCTATCATTGGCTGCCGAGTACCGTGTCTACATGGACTCCAGATTCTCCATGAGAGAAACCAGTAAGTTAGATAGTTAACTTTTTTTCCCCTATTTCTGAAAGTGTGTGCAATATAATGGAGAACCAAGGATGCCTAGGAGGCAGGAAGGTATTCCTGCCCAGCCAGTTCATGTTGTGACTGGTAGAACAGCAGAGAAAGCTGTTCAAAGCCCTGCCTGTAAGCTTGTGTTGGAACAAGCTTGGCTCAGTGTTTTTGAAAAAGAGACCTCTTTGAACCTGAGGTTTGGCTGCAGGAGTCCAACTGCTTCTAACTGTCTGGTAATTAAACCACCTTGAAATTGTAAGTGTAAAAATGAGTTAGAGGTTTGGTGGTTTCTCAAAGTTAAACATATAATTGCCACATGACCCAGAAATTCTAGAATTGAAAACAGGCATTCAAAGAAAAAATTGTACACCTGTGTTCATGGCAGCACTTTTCAGAATAACCAAAGTGTGAGAGCAACCCATCTTCCCACAGTGGATGAATGGATAGACACATGTATACAGTTACATCCATGCAATGCGATTATTCAGCCACAAAAGGGAATAAAGTACTGACACATGCTACGGCATGGATGAACCCTGAAAACACTATGCTAAGTCAAAGAAGCTATACCCAAAGGCCACATATTGTGAGGTTTCATTTATACAAAATGTCCAAAATAGACAAACCCATAGAAACAGCATATGAGTCTTTGCCAGGGGCTAGGGAGAGGGAAGAATGGGGAATGACTGCTTAATGGGTACAGGGTTTCCTTTGGGGTGATAAACATGGTTAGGAACTAGATAGGGGTGATGGTTGCAGAACATTGGGAATGTACTAAATATCACTGAATTGTTCACTTTAAAATGATCAAATGATTAGATGTGTGACTTTTATTACAAAAAAAAATGAGGTAGGGAAAATAATACGTTCCATAAGAAAGTTATTGTTATCATTTAGTGGCGAAGTACCCACAGTGTACAATATTCAGTGAATAAAAGTATGATTGTGGTTGTTTTAAAATAACACAATTTAAATTATTTGCACCAGAAGCAACACTCTAGCAGTTGTTTCAGGTTACATTGTAATGATATTAGTGATATTTTAATTTTTAGATAAATTTTTCATAGCTGAAAAAATTGCAACCTTTTAAAGGGAGCGGTCTGTTGGTTAGAATTGAATCTGATGGGTGTATATTTCCACTAGACCCAGTTGTTTTTTGTTTTTTTTTTTAAAGATTTTATTTATTTATCTTTAGAGGGGAAAGGAAGGAGAGAGGGAGAGAACTGGCCTGCAACCCAGGCATGTGCCCTGACTGGGAATCGAACCGTGGTTGCTTGGTTCCCAGGCCCACGCTCAATCCACTGAGCTACACCAGCCAGGGCCCAGTTGTTAATTCATTGGAAACATCGGTATGGCTAGACCGTTAATTCAAATGCAAATAAGGGATTCAGAAGCCCCAAGAAGCTGTGATAAAATGATCAAACAGTTGCTTAATTGCAATGTCCTTTTTTCTAGAAATGCAAAGTCTAATGCCAGTCTTGCAAGATAAATAATGGTATGGCTAAAAAAATGTAGAAATACATTTCCAAAGGGCTTTTCTCCTCTTGGGTGATCACCTTAGGATGGAGCAACCCCTTTCCAACAATACTGCCAATTCCTGAACCTACTATTTGTAACTCTTCTGTTGGAACTAAAAGTAAGATAGGCTTCCTATCTTATACTCACAACCTTTTTTCAATTTAAGTAAAAAAATGGCATTACTTAGCCCATTTACCAACCTTTGTGCCAAATAAGTTCATGCTGTTTACAAAGTCATTATCCTCCACAAATCTTTGTCACCCTAAGTCATTTTCAAAGAGTGTGCCAGAGGCACTAGGAACAATTCCAAAAGAGTTGTTCAGTTTTTTTGAGTCATGGGGAATATTATTTAAATAAGTGTGACTACTCACTCCTCGGGTTTGGACCATACCCATTTCGATATGTTTATTTAAAAATCAGTGATATTACTTAGTGGTTAAAGGTGGGGTTGATTTTTTAGAAAGGATGATAACCCATCCAGGTTCTTGTTACACAACTGTGTTCTGTCTTGTTGTCAATATAAAATAGGTGGATTCTATAGAGACAGGCTTTACCTTTCTTACGTATAAAATAAACGTGGACTTTCCCTACCTTCCTTGGCCTACAAAAAGAGAAAGGGAACTCTAGCCCCCCCCTCCCCCCATATACAAATCCCTTACATTTGTGTAATGTTTTAAACATCCAAAGTTCTTGGACCTACTCTACCTCACTCTCCACCCACAACAGCATGAGTAGGAACCCCCAGCGTGCGAAGAAGGGGAACAGAGTTTAAGTGACACACCCAAAGCCTCCCTCAGCTGGACCAGTTACAGAGCCAGGACTAGAAGATCCCTTTTTTGACTCTGAATCCAGTGCTCTTTCTTCTATGCCCAATTTGTCGTAGTGCCCCAAATGCCCAGGCGTGTGAAGTCCAAACTTTAGCAACAAGTAGCTACCTGTACTTACCCGTGCAGTGGCATGGAGTCCAGTGGTTCTGTTGGTCAGATGGACTGTTTTTCCAGTCCCCTTCAGGCTGACTGCCACTTGGAAGTTCACCAGCTCTTGGGGCTGATTCTGGTAAAATGTTCCATACTTTGAGCTCAGCTTCTGGTTTGTAAAATGTTCCAGGTGGTTGGTATAGAAATAAGAAAAGAGGAGCCAAGTATTTATAGGGTGCATGAGCCCCGGACGTCCCCTTAAGTGAGCTAGATATGAAAAGGCCACTGTTTCTGTAATGAAAATTAATAGTTCCCTTACCAGAATAAGCTTCTCATGTGGAAAGTTTTGTGTGAAACTAGACATGTGGCATTGCATTGTTGGTGGGTTTTTTGCTTGTTGTTATTAATGGAAAACATGGCTTTAATTACTGGTTATATTTTTCTCACCCTCCAAGAAAGATCCAGGAGCTGCTGTTGACCAGCTCTGACCTCTTTCAATTTATCCAAAGTCAGAAGTCTGTGCATCATAGTGCACCAGCATGTAAAGGAACTCTTACACCTTACTGATTGCATCACCCGCATACGGGCAGTCTATTTATATAACACTGAGCACAAGGCTTTGCCTGTAAATCTGAGATTCTTTCTGAGAAATTCAAAACATCCTGCTCATCCCTCTCTTTTATGTTCCCTTACAGAGCTTGAAGATGAGGGATACTTTCTATGTTTTACTGCCCGTAAATGGGCTGCTCCTTGTCGGAAATAGTGACTTTTTTTTTTTAAGATTTTATTTATTTATTTTAGAGGGAAAGGGAAGGAGAAAGGGAGAGAAACATCAATGTATGGTTGCCTTGTGCTCCCCTGCTGGGAACTGGCCTGCAGGGAACCAGCCTGCAACCCAGGCATGTGCCCTGACCGGGAATCGAACCGCAATTGTCTGGTTCGCAGGCCCGCGCTCAATGTAACTGTTTTTTTTTTTTTTTTTTAACATAAATTCTGTGTCTCCAGGGAAGTTTAAGTCTGCAGAGCCTTTTAGAATCCTCTGCTCCCAACCCAGTGGCAGGAGTTTTCTTTCCCTGGGAACACTGGATTGATTAGCAAGCTCGGACCTGCCGCTTCC